CAAGAAACGATAGTAACGTAACAAAGAGGAAGAAAAACAACCTAACACACAGCATGACTCACAATACCGTAACGCGGTCTGAACTTGGGGGCCCGGTCACGAGATCGAGGAGCCGTGCACAGAGGGTTCAAACCCCCTATTAGTAACTCTCATTTTTTAGCACCCTCACCCTGACGAAGCCTGGAGGTCCAGGCGAAAGTTCGGTTTACTAGTATTTAATATATTAAATTATTCATATATTTTATCCTCCTGGTGTTCTCACCTTTTTTGGCCTACCTTTTAACTATATATATATATATATATATATATATATATATATATATATATATATATATATATATATATATATATATATATATATATATATATATATATATATATATATATATATATATATATATACATACATACATACATACATATAAGGCCAGGTAATTGAATTCACTTTTTATTTTCTCCATGCAAAAAGGTTATTGTTATTAAATGCTTGATTACTGCTTTACTGGCTTAGTACTAGAACATGTTTAATTGAAATAATATGTACAACTGTTGTTACTGTTCAAATAGACTGGCCATTGCAACTAAATGCCTTTCAAAGTTATCGGACAATTTTGCTCATCCAGAGGTAACAGGATGCAAGTCGTGATCTAAAATCCTCAGTTTGCAAATATTAAATTAATTTGAAATTCTGGTTGGGGAAAGCTGAGGTAGACCATATTAGACTCCATAAAATGTTTTATGGGAAATGAATGAAGTGTGTGTACTGTATGTGTATATTCAAATGTCCAGGTACACCTTGTCTTGAAAGATAAAAGCTGCTTGGAAGCCAATGGTTTGCTTTAATTTAATTTCTGATGTTAGCAACATTCCCACAAGGCATTTTTGCTCAAAACAGCAATCATTTTGAATAATTCTCCATATGATGTCATGTTCATCCGCAATATAATAGATGTTACATTTTTTCTGTATTTCTTCACTGAAATTCAAGCTTTTCCTCTCTCTCTCTCTCTCTCTCTCTCTCTCTCTCTCTCTCTCTCTCTCTCTCTCTCTCTCTCTCTCTCTCTCTCTCTCTCTCTCTCTCTCTCTCCCCTCTCATGGCTTCAATTTGTAAAATAAGAAAACCCACCCCAATAAAAGTTTAGCTAAAATATATGCCTAACTGGGTTTATTTTATCTATGTCTTTTACATAGTTCTATGCCACCCTAAGACCAATTTGCTGGTGTGTTTAAGTCCTGAGGCTAGAAACCAGGAGACTGAGAATTCTAGTCCCACCTTAGGCACAAAGCTGGCTGGGTGACCTTGTGCCAGTCACTCTTTCTCAGCCTCAGCCCTAGGAAGAAAGCAACGGCAAACCACTTCTGAAAAACCTTGTCAAGAAAACTGCAGGGACCAACTCAAAGGCAGAATGGCAATAATTTTAAAAGCCATCTTAGTTACTGGCTGAGGGTTTCACCCACTGCATATTTTTTTTATTGTTACAGATGGTCCTCGACTTACGACTACAGTTGAGCCCAAAAGTTCTGATGCTAACCAAGACAGTTGTTTTGCCCCCATTTTACGACCTTTCTTTCCATGGCTGTT